GCCATCTTCCCAATGTATATATATATATATATATAGAAATAAAAATAAAAAATCCCACTGTAGCGGACAAACACAGTGCCTTTTATATGGATGCAAACACGCGTTCCAATTTCTTATTTGGTGCGCATCTTCTATTTTGACAGCGAATGCACACCTGTGGACCACTTATGTGCACCCCTGTGTCTGTGTGTCTGTGTCTGTGTCTCTGTGTGTGTGTGTGTGTGTGTGTATATATCCTTCACAATAGAAAAGATTTGTAAGACTTGCTATGAAACATATCATTGCTTGGCCCCTGATACTTTGCACTGTTCATAATTAAATGTCCACATTCAAGGCGCGTTTGACATCTTTACATATCATACCATTGTTCTGTAAACATTAGAAAACTGGGAAAGTCAAGACTAAAACAACAATTGACACAGATAATACTCCTGTACGGTTCCCTATAGCAGAGGGTCGATGGTCATGTTGATTTGGTCTTTGTTGCGTTTGCTCCCATTGGAGCTGAGGGACTTCTCCTTTTTGCATGTAAAGGGGCTCAGGATCTTGCGGAATGTGACCCTGAAGTCCCTGATTCGGTAAGCATAGATGATGGGGTTTACTGCAGAGTTGGCGTGAGACAGAATGATGGCCACGTACATGACGACCTCCAGCTGTAGCTTCTGGTAAAACAGCGTGACACAGTTGAGGATGTGGACAGGCAGCCAGCAAATGGCAAACAGTCCCACGATGATGGAGAGGGATTTGGCAGCTCGGATTTCCTTCTGCAGCAACCCGTGATTTTGGCTGTCGCCGTTGCCCACGCATTTCAGCTCGATCTGCCTCAGTTGCTTCCTGGCCACGTTGAATATCTTCAGGTAGATGCCCAGCATGATGAGCAGTGGCAGCAGCACGCAGACAAAGAAATTAAAGTACACCATGTAATGCATGTCTACCACGCTCTCAAACAAGCACGTGAGCTTGCAGCTCCGTGGCAAGTCCCCCATGGCACTCGGCGCTGCTGTGATGCTAGCGTTCATAGTGCTGCTTGTGTCAGAGCTGTTGTTACCACATTTCTTAGACTTCAAGTTCCATCCAAAGAATGGGATGAGGCCAATAATAAAGGAGAGAATCCATAAAATAGCAATGATCTCTCTGGCAGTTTTACCCGTCATCAGCTCCTTGTACCTGGACAAAACACAGCAGAGATTACTGACTGAGGTTTTGCACAAATATCACACTTAAAGGGACATTATTATTCTTTTACTGCAGCTGTGTGTGATTCACAGTTAAAAACAATCTGTATTTATCTTGTTACAACCCCACAGTTCATCCACAGCTGGATCCCTTCACTTGCCAGCTGAGGTTTGGTAGATGCTCACCACCAGAGCTGGTTATTTAAGGCGACCGTATTCGCAATATACAGTCTTACTGACATAGAAGTCAAGTGCTTAGAGCGGGGCTGCCCAATCCCAGTCCTCGAGAGCTACTATCCTGCAGCTTTTAGATGCATCCCTACTCCAACACAGCTGAATCAAATGGTTTGATTACCTCTTCAGCATGCCATCATGTTTGGCAAAGGCCTGATAACAAGCCATTCATTTGATTCGGGTGTGTGGGAACAAGGATGCATCTAAAAGCTGCAGGACGGTAGCTCTCGAGGACCGGGATTGGGCACCCCTGGCTTAGAGCAATCTGAAGTAAGAGCTTTTCGGTCACAGGGATTACCTGCACAAACACACACCTCATATATAGTGTTCTTAACAATATTAACAACCTAGCTGTTTATTGTTGGTCTTGTTTATTTAAGAAGACTTAAAATTATGCATCCCCCAAGAAGAATTGGGACACAACAAAGGGGAAAAACTGGTAGAGAATAGTAAACTTTTGTCTTACTTGCAGTGGAAATCCGCAATGTACAACCACACCAACAAAATAAAAGGTTTAAATATGCATATAAGCAAAAATGTAAAAGAAAACCAACTTAAGCTTTACTGGTTTTCAGCGTTGGTTTTGTATAAAGCTCCAAAATGTATTTATTTATATATATATACGTGTGTGTGTGTGTGTGTGTGTGTGTGCGCGCGCATAGATTTTTGGTTTAGTGATGATTAGTGGTTGTTAAAACCAATTCAAAATCAATTCCCTACAAGAACTCATCAATGCAGTAGAATGGTCTCCAACTTGGTGTTTATTCTGTAGTAGTAGATTATTATTACAACAGATGCATTACAATTTAATTTGAGACCACTTGCATTACTTTATATACAGCAGTGAAAGTGATTCAAAGATACATAAATGCATGTTTGTTTGTTTTTTATTGATTTTGTACATCCTGATGAGGACCTTTCTAATCCCAGTACATCCTGTCATCTTGTTTGAATTTGCAGTGATGGTGTGTGACTAGTGGAAACCACAGCTCAGATTCTACTCTAAAATGACACCACTGTAAACAAGACAAAAAAAGATAAACAGTCAGAGCCTTTCCATATCCTCTCGGTGTTGTACAGAAGCGCAGCGTAACTGCGGCGGTGCGCGTTGATCAGGAGCACATTGTCGGCTTCAGAGTGAAAGCATTGAGTCTGCTGCTATCTCTGAGTGTTTCTCACACACAGCTGTGCTTA